GGCCTGGGCTGGGGATTCGAACCCGCCACCTTAGGTGTATGTGGCTGGCACCTTAGCCGCTTGAGCCACAGGCGCCGAGTCAAAACTTTACTCTCATAAGTAACAAACGCAGCCATCTCATGATATTGGGGTGTGTGTGCATGTGCACACATGTACGCACAGCACAGGAAAAGCTGACAGCCTGAGCTGCCCTGGGTCTCACAGAGGATCCAGAGCAGAGCCAGCCTGGCCCCAGCTAGTGACCTCCAGACAGTGTTGTATCTGTGGGCCTGGATAGGCCACCTAGTTGAGGAGCTGATGAGCTGGTACCCAGTGGCAGCCCTTGAATTTGGTCCCACTCTCACATAGTGCTCAGGACCTGTTCTTGTACATCAACTTCACGACACGTGTCCCGCCCTCAGACTTCCCAGGGTGCAGCTCCTTCAGGGCTTGTTCCCACTTGGAGATGGCATCACAGATCTTGAAGAGGCAAAAAGGGGAAAGTCAGAAAAGCCCCTGACGTGGGAAACATGGTCCAGCCAGAGACAAGGAACAGCTGTTTCCTCACAACAGCTCAGCTTTCCTCTGCTTGTCTAGGTATATTTTAGGATGATACAAGAATGATGAGCACCTGGGCTCAGCACCAAACACGCGTCTAAACAGTCAGGTACCCACTCAATGGGCTCTTTCCCACCACCAATATCCCTGAGCTGGGAGGTGATGTAGGAGGGGCTCTACTGACTTAGTGGGGAGGCTGTCACCTTGACACTCCCCTGCAGGCAGTGTTCCAGGTCCCTGCCGGAAGGATCGTCTGTGAAGAGGGCAAAACCAGAGTGGGATGGCTTTCTCATGCCTGTCTCCTGGTTCAGCCGCTGGAGGAACTCATCAACTGTGGAGGAGCCATCAAAACCAACCACCTGTGGGGGGAGAGGTGATCTGTCCCAGGGCAAACTTCTGAGGGGTGTGGGAGGAGGGGGTGTGAGCACAGCAGGTGGAAAGGAGCAAGGGCGAATGCAAGAGGCAAAGTAAGTCAGCTTCCACCTTCACGTGCAGAGGGCCAGTGCATGACGGGGTGAGCCTGCCACTGGCAACCGGTTTGGATACGAGCTCAGCCCCTCCTTTATTATCTCTATCTTGGGAGCCCTTTCTTTTTCCTTTTTTTGAGACAAAGTCTCACTATGTCATCCTTGGTGGAGTACCATGGTGTCACAGCTCACAGCAACCTCAAATTCTTCACTTGATCTTAGCCAAAAGGCCGAGAAGTGATAACAACCTCAAATTCTTGGGCTTAAGGGATTCTCTTGCCTATGCCTCCCAAGTAGCTGGGACTACAGGCGACTGCCACAACAACGCCCGGCTATTTTTTGGTTGTAGTTGTCATTGTTTGGCAGGCTTGGGCTGGATTTGAACCTGCCAGCTCTGGTGTATGTGGCTGATGCCCTAGCCGCTGAGCTACAGGTGCCGAGCCTGGGGGCCCTTTCTTAGGCCACTTTTTTCATCAATGTCTTATCTTTGTTTATGCAGTGGGCTCAAGATCTACTTCTGGGACACTAGTGAATCCCTTGTGATTCAAGCTCCTTTCTTCTCTACATCAGTGGTTCTCAACCTTCCTAATTCTGCAACCATTTAATACAGACCCACAGGTTAAGAACTGCTGCTCTGGCTCGGCTCCTGTGGCTCAAGCAGCTAAGGCACCAGCCACATACACCTAAGGTGGCGGGTTTGAATCCCCAGCCCGGGCCTGACAAACAACAATGATGGCTGCAACCAAAAAATGGCCAGGCGCTGTGGCGGGTGCCTGTAGTCCCAGCTACTTGGGAGGCTGAGGCAGGAGACTCGCTTGAGCCCAGGAGTTGGAGGTTGCTGTGAGCGTGATGTCACGGCACTCTACCCAGGGGAATAGCTTGAGGCTCTGTCTCAAAAAAAAAAAAAAAAAAGAACCGCTGCTCTATATAAAGGCACTAACCACCCCAGTCTCACTCTTAAATCCCAATGACATTTTGGGCTGGATGATTAAAATAAGGAGAATATATCAAGCCTAAACAGCCTTAGCACCCACCTGACCCGAAGGTATTCCCCGGGACAGGGATATGAGAAGACCTGGGGCAGGGAGCACACCCAGCCGCCTCACCTGGTAAGTCCCGTTGGCGAAGTGCACGGGGATGCTGAAGGGCAGGGAGTGGTGGAAGGGGTTGCGCAGCAAGATGGACACCACCTCCATGCGCGATGGCCTGGCTTCCCGCTCCCCGCTCTGCAGGGTCCGTTCCACTGCTCGCTGGCAGTAGGTGGCATACTGGCCAGTTTCATTTCTAAAAGGCAAGAAAAGGAAGTTGGAACTGTTAGGGACCCTGCCACCATGGCACCCTGGGTCCCTACCCAGACTTAGCCAGGATCAAAACTAGCTGGGTCAGGTTTTGAGAAAAACCCTGAAGACTCTGGTCTAGGTGTTAATTTGTCATTCAGGACCAATGGTGAGCACAGTGAGCAGCAAAGCTAAGCTCTCGTGGCTTCCAGAAGCCAGGGGATATGGCAACTGAGAATGAGCATTTGGGGACAATTTGGGGGCAGTGTTGCTTCACATGAGAGCTGCCATGATACATTCATGGACATAGGGCTTGACGTGCAGAGAAGCCTAAGCATGGCCAGATCACCAGACCATGTGTCCATTCGGGTGCATAATGATGGGTGAAGTCTCCCTGACCTCCAAGCAATCTCAGAAGATAGAAGCGATCGGGTCTGTCCTAGTTTCCCCTTAGCCCTTTCCCTCCTGCTGCAGTTGGTGTGCTCAAGTGGCAGAGGAAACAGCCGGGTTCACTCACCTGGGATCTGCATGGCGTTGAAGCTGCTGTTTGACATACCAGAGGAAGTGATGCTGAGGCAGAAAAAGTGGGGCACACAGAGCCAGGAGCTGCCAGCACTGTGGGGGACACGGGCACATGAGATGAGGGCTGGGTCTGCAGCGCCACCTCCCTCATGGCCCTGAGCTGTGGAGCCTTCAGCACTCTTTCCCCAAACCAAAGCCTTGATGGCTATGGGTCCTGAGATGGCCAAGGCTGTCCCAGAGTGGCAGTCCCCAAGTCTAATGGTATGTGGACAGCACAGCCATACTGAGGCATCGTTGAGCACCTCAGGCTGCCCTCTGACTAGGCTCAGGGCATGCCTGCCCAGCCACCTGCTCCTGCCTTTCACACCTGGGCAGCCCTTGCCAATGGTTCTTGTCTGCCCACCTGCATGAGGGAGTACTTTGGAGGCGGGCGGCAGCTAGTCTGCTTCATGAGCTGGCAATAGATCTCGCTCTGCAGCTCAGGGTGGACCAGGCAGACCTGCAATGCCGTCTGGGCCAGGGACACATGGTAGTCCACGGAGGCGGCTTCCACAGGCACGTTGATGAAGAGCTGGCAGGACTGGGAGGGAATGATGGTGAGCTCTGGTGGACCACAGCCCCTAGGTAACTGTCCTTTCTGACATGGAATGGTGTCTCTGACTCTAAGTAGAGAGGTGAACAGCCTGGGGCATTCCCCAGGGTTCGAGGGATGCCCTGGAGATTGCCCTAAGAGGGAGCACTGTTACTGCCTGAGAGCATTAGTATGTACTGAAAGAATCTTTCCTTTCTTTAATGTTTCCATTACGTAAGCAAGAGAAATTCATTTTTAAAAGAAGAAAATGCAGACAGGCACAAAGAATATTCTAAATTAGGTCAGAATCTCTCAGGTCCAGAAGCAACATAAACCTGCCCTTTTCTGCCTAACTACAAGAGGAGGGGAACCCCTTGAGAGGTAGTTTTCACTGACATTTCCCAAGCCCAGAGCTTCCTCCTCCCAGTGAAAGGATTCTATTCCTGCTATGAAGGAAGGAAAGGGGACCCTGTGAGAGTTTCTATCCCTCCTCCTCCAGATCCCTCTGGGGGCTACCCCTTAATTGCATGGGTCTTCTCCACCTAAGTATCACCATGGTGGGCTTGAGCTGCCTCTGGCAGAGCCCGAGCAGGTGGTGTGGGTGCTGCCAGTGGTGAGCCTGGCACTTTACCTTAAAGAGCTTGAGGGCCTCCGTCTGCAGGGCCTCGGAGGGCAGCGTGGTGAGGGAGGCGTGCAGCCCGTCTTTGCTGTAGCACAGCATGGGGTGCCTCCAGACGGGGGAGTCTAAAGCATAGCAGCAGAGAGCAGCAGCAGTTACCATGGCAGGTGCTCTCCCCACCCACCCCCAACTTCAGTCTGTGCAGAAGTGAAGGGTTGTGCTGGACTGTTGTCCACAGAGTGTGGGGGTATGCAGGTGTGGGTAGCACACTCCTGGCATGGCTGTAAGGAAGGTGGCCAGTGTCTTCCTCACAGAGCGGCAGGAGGCGTGAGTGCAGAGCTGTGGGTGATGCAAGGATGTGTACAGGGAAGATGGAGAAGGTTTGAAAGGCCCAAGACAAATAAGCCTTGGAGGAGTGGTAGACAGGATGTGTTGTTACTTAGTTCCTCAAGACCCTAAGAATCGGTAGCAAAATAAACCCCCCAGGCCGGACACAGTGGCTCACATCTGTAATCCCAGCACTCTGGGAGGCTGAGGTGGGTGGATTGCTTGAGCTCACAAGTTCAAGGCCAGCCTGAGCAAAAGTAAGAACCCCGTCTCTATTAAAAACAGAAA